GGGCGAGGAAACTAAAGAGACTATTACCTAGGACAAGTAGGAAAGGATTAGAGACAAAACAAAGCACTAAGAGTAATGAGTTAAGTCTGTGATCCCCAAAGTGTGACTGCCCACCCTTTTCCCCTCAACCAGCCGTATTCAGCACGGTGTGGGAACTTGTTAGAGTGCTCATCCACATGGAATCTGAAACTCGGAGACGGGCCCGACCATCTGTGTTGTACCGAGCCCTCCTGGGGATTCTGATATTCACTAACATGCGAAGGCCATGGATTTAGAGGAAGGAACAGAGCTGTAAAGCATGACACAGAAATATAGGCAATTTGGAGGCCAGATGCAAATGTGGGTGATATGGTTTGAATGTTTGTCCTCTCTAAATCTCATGCTGAAATATGATGCCCAGTGTTGGAGGTGGGGCCTAATGGGAGCTGATTGGATCACGGGGCAGATCCCTCATGAATGGTTTAGCACCATCCCCTTGGTGATGAGTAAGTTCTCGCTTAGTAAGTTCTGGGACCTTCCCCACCCCCTCTCGTTCCTGCTCTCGCAATGTGATGTGCCAGCTCTCCCTTTGCCTTCTGCCATAACTGGAAGCTTCCTGAGGCCTCCCCAGAAGCAAATGTTGGCATCACACTTCCTGTACAGCCTGCAGAACTGTGAGACAATTAAACCTCTTTTCTTCATAAATTACCCAACTTTAGGTATTTCTTTATAGCAACGTGAGAACAGACACAAACGCAGTGAGGCAGACAGGAGAATAAATCTAGAATAACTCCTGGTGGGTTGATGAATAAAAAAGAAGAAACATATTCGGAGGGAAAAGATAATGAATTTGAGTTTGAATTCCTAAGGGACATTCAAGTATCATGATCCTGTTCAGTGTCAGCCTAGAAGTCAGGAGAAATTTCTGGGATAAAGATACAGTTTTAGGGTCACTGGGATTAGATGGTAGTTTAGCTAGGAATGGAGGAGATAGGTAGCTCTCAATTTTTTTCCTGCATAAATGATATCATCTGTGTGTCTGAAAAGGCTGAGGGGTGTATCTAGACTTAGATACAATTCTCCACATGCTAGTTCCTTTTCTCTCTGATTCAAGGAGTCATTTCAAAATGCAAATTCAGTCTGATAGATGTGAATATGTTCTATTTTTAAAAATAAGTGATGAACATGCATTGTTATGCTATTATTAGTATGTATAACTTGTCAAACAAGATATCCAGAATCCTAAAGTGTACAGAGGGAAATGAGACCAGGTCTAAGGGCTGACGCCAGTTCAGTGAGTGTTGGAAAGTGATTGCAGCAGAGGAACCAGCAACAAAGGGGAGAAAAATGGTCAGAGAGAGGGATGGGGTCCTGCAACTCCAAACAGGAGCACTTTGTAGATAAGGTGATGTGCACTGTCATATTTCAGAGAGACCTGTAAGATGAAACCCCGGACTTCGCTATTCTGAGGTCACCACTGAACTTTATTCAAAGTCATTTCTATTATCTGAGGATAATTTGGCTGATCACCTTAAGAAGATTGGAGTATTTTGAAGAATAAATGGGGGGTGAGGAAATGGAGGCACTAAGGGTAGATTTATACTTTGCACTATTATCTGGTTACAGAAGCGTTGCCTTATGTTCTTGGCATCTTATAGAGATTCTAGTGAAACAGGTCTTCTAATTTTTATACTTTCTCTAACCAGGGCCTCAGCACAAGTATGGCATAAAGGGGCTAGTATACTATGAATACAATTACTCCACCCACTAATATCGATCCACTGGTCCTGGACAATGAGCTCACCTTAGTCCTCCATTCACCCAATTGGATTGATTGTCTTCTAGAATCCACTCTCTCCTCCAGGCTTCCTTGGCCTGCCCCACACACCTTAGTGACCTCTCCAAATCCTTAGAGTAAATATAGCTTCAGCTTTAAAGCTGGGACCTCCTCTGCAAAAAATTCCTTCTGAATAGTTCCTTATAATTGACCTGGCCTAAATTAATCCTCACACCCATCCTGTGAAGGAAGTAGGAAAGTGTTATTGTTCTTGTTTAGTGGGTGAGAATTGAGGTTCTGTGACAGCCAATATCTTTACCCCTCCTAAATCACAAAGAAACAACCCTATCTTATTTATTTTGCTAATGTATTCATTCCACATTTTTCCATGAAGGATTTCAGGTAGAGGGCATCTGAAAAATAATGAGCAGAATGTCAAGATAACTTGATAAAATAACATAGATATTCAGCTGCTAAATCTCCACATAACTGGCATAGCTGAGCTTTAAATGTGGTTCTAAGGTTTTTGGCAGCCAAACAGAAAGGCAGACACTGTCAATTATGCAGTTCCTGTTTTCAAAAAGGAATAAGTGTGCCAGTTTCTCAGAGGAACCAAAGTACATTCCTGCCTTAGTTCTAAAAGAAACTTCACATCCATGTCTTTGCATACGGATCATTTCTATAAACAAGTGTAGTGAAACATCTTATATTGGCTCTAATGGTTTACTTTGGTAAAATTTCACTTAAGCCCAAAGTTAGAACAGATTCTCCTTCCTTCCTTCCTTCCTTCCTTCCTTCCTTCCTTCCTTCCTTCCTTCCTTCCTTCCTTCCTTCTTTCCTTCCTTCCTTCCTTCTTTTCTTTTTCTTTCTTTCTCTCTCTCCCCCACCCCACCTTCCTCCCTTCTTCCCTCCCTCCCTCTCTCTGTCTTTCCTTCTTTCGTTCAATGAGATAATGTTCTGTCACCCAAGCTAAAGTGCAGTGGCACAATCATAGCTCATTGCAACCTCCAACACCTGCGCTCCAGTGATGTCCTGCCTCAGCCTCTCCAGTAGCTAGGAATACAGGAGCACATCACCACATCAAGCTAATTTTATTTAATTTTATTTTTATAGAGACAAGGTCTAGCTATGTTACCCAGGCTGGTCTTGAACTCCTGGGCTCAAGGGATCTTCCCACCTCTGTCTCTCAACGCACTGGGATTACAGGCATCAGCCACCATTCCTGGCCTAAAACAGACTTATCAACACAAGCACACTCACTAACTTACTGATCCCTGAGGGACAGTTACCACAAAGATATAAAACTTTACATCTTGGGCTGGATTTAATTTTTATAGTTGTGACTAAATTCTGTGCATCAATTAGCACATATTCCTGGAGTATGCTCTCTCTATAGAGAGTTAAAAATCAGGTAGCCTTTCTAACTGTCTACACATTTGTATATACACTGTGCACACACATACATAAACATGCAAAGTCAACCATCTTTAAAAAAAGTATAAAGATTTTTCTAGAAAAATCTGTTCCTGAGATTTTAGGAAATGCTCATTGACTTAAGTGAAATGTCATCTATCATTTTAAGATGCTCCTGGAATAAATAAATATTCAGGTGCTTAGAATATAGACAAAAATTGGGGGTATTTAAGTTATTATTGGAGCAGATGCTGAGTAGCTATCTCCCCTGACTCTCAGGCACTGATGATCACTAACATTTTTAATTAATCACAAATCCCTATGGATGCTAGTGAGGCTCTGACAAAATGGTCCTTTCCCTCACACAAAGTGCTGGAGGAGCCATGCACCCAGTGCTGTATTCCCGTATCTCATTAGGTAATCTATATCTGGACACCCAGGCACCACATTTTCAGAGTGTTCTTCTAAAACTGAATGTGTGTATGCAGAAAACCAGTCTGTTAAAATGCATTAATGAACACCTGCTGGCCTCAGAGTCCTGAGCAAGGAACTGTTCCAGAATATTAAAGAAACAAAGTCATTCTCCGTCTTCAAGGAGTTTAAATCCAGTTGGAGAGGCAAAATATACTGACATGTTATACAACTAAAAACAATAACCTAAGAACCTATAAATACATGCAACATAATACAATAAATAGTCAATGATACTAAACAGTACATGGAAACCAAGGCAGTAGGTAAGAGAAATGACTGCTGATAAAATGAAGAGTAAAGTGGTGACCTCTGCCCCCATCAGCTGATACAAAAGTAATGTGAAATGGCCCCCAGATGCAGAGAGCAATGTTAGGTAAAATAATAGCCGCACTATATGTGATGGCCCAGGGTTGTGGGCATGTGAGCCAAATTACACAACATACAGGGGAATTCCATGCCTGAAAATGTGGATTGTCTTATTTCAGACCAGTGATTCATACACGTTTTTTGTTTATTTTGTTGTTGTTGTTGTTGTTGTTGTTAGGTTCTTCAGGGTGAGGGGGGAAAGTCTTGCTCTGTCATCCAGGCTGGAGTGCAATGGTGTGATCAGATCTCACTGCAGCCTCAATATCCCAAGCTCAAGTAATCCTCCTACCTCAGCCTCCTGAGTAGCTGGGGCTACAGGTGTGCACCACCATGCTCACTAATTTATTTATTTATTTATTTATTTATTTATTTATTTAAGATGGAGTCTTGCTCTGCTGCCCAGGCTGGAGTGCAGTGGCGCGATCTCGGCTCATTGCAACCTCCACCTCCCAGGTTCAAACAATTCTCTACCTCAGCCTTCCAAGTAGCTGGGATTATAGGCACGCACCACCATGCCCAGCTAATTTTTGTATTTTTAGTAGAGACAGGGTTTCACTTTCTTGGCCAGGCTGATCTTGAACTCCTGACCTTGTGATATACCCACCTCAGCCTCCCAAAGTGCTGGGATTACAGGCGTGACCCACCGCACCCAGCCTCACGCTTGCTAATTTTTTAATTTTTTGTAGAGACAGGGTTTTGCCAGTTGCTTAGGCTGGTCTTGAACTCCTTGGCTCACGTGATCCATTCACCTCAGCCTTCCGAAATGCTGGGATTATAGGTGTGAGCCACCACACCTGGCTACCTCATAAATGTTAATGAGCTCTTACTTCACTTAGGGTACTTGAAAAACATACTGATTTGGGAATCACTCATAGATAGTCTAATTCTGTGGGTAGTAGGTAGAGCTCCAGAAAGTACATTTTCACAGTTCTCCCAAGGATAGAGTTAGTCTAAGGACCCCAACGTGAGGCCCACTGCCTAATGCACTAACCCAAGACCCGCTCACGTGTGACATGAAGGAAAAGCCAGTATCAGAATTCACAGGGGTCCCAACTACCATTAGGAAGCAGTGCCTGGGAAGGGATAGGAATTCTAGAATGATCCCCCAAGAGGTCAAAATGCCACTCAGGCAGGAAACGGATATGGTTTTAATTGGTGAAATTGCATGTTAGAAATAAACACATCTGCAAACTTGCATAGAAAAGTATTATTCGTTGATTCATTTACTACCCAGAAGACTTTACTGGATGAGTATATGTTGGATTTTGTAAAAAATAATTGAACTAAACTCTTTGAACTTAGAAAGGAGTACAATATATACTCAAAGGGTTCTAATAAAATGAAACTGTTTGCATGAAATTTACTACCTGATAATTTTCTTTGAATGTATTTTGGATTTCCAAAACAGAATTTTTATTTTTCATTATTCAACAGACCTCAGTTAGATGTATTTGTTCTCTTAAAGACTATAAAGGTTTCTGAGAAACCTTATGCCGTGCTATTATCAGTTATATTTTTTAAAGCTTTTCAAATTTGAGATCTTCTTACCCTGGGCACTTTGCAAATGAATCGTCGTTAGCCCTGTTCATAATAAGCTGAGAAAACATGAGAAAATTACTCAAATTCTCTGAGCAAATTAATATGACTGCAAATTGACTGTAGACTCACTCATTCAGGTTGTGGTAGACATTCATCCTGCATTCTCAGGGCTTAGTGTTCTGTATTGTTTGGGGAAAAAAATGGGTGTATAATTGGGAACCCGAACTCTGGACATTAATCTGATCACTTTTTTCAGACCACATCTTTCACCCAGCATCATTACTCCTCATTATGCTTCTATAAGTTCAACTACAAACTTATTCTAAACTAAGAAGATTTAGTATGAGCTTCCTTATAGTATAGCCTTAAGGTAATTTTGCAGCTGTTATTTAGGAAATGAAAAGAAAATGTGGTCATCCAAGAATTTTAAAAATAAGGAAAAATGCAAAACCAAAAAGGCACATGGTAATATTAAGAGAGTGGTATGAAACATTAAACTTGGCTAGAAATAGGGTTTTTGTTGCAAGAAGTAATGGGAAATGGGGCTGGAAAACTGAATTGAGCCAAATTATGAAGGATTTAACAGCCAATTGGATCCCCTCAGTCGTAGGTGATCACGGATGCCAGGTGGAAACACTTGAAAACTAAACAACACACTTCAAAAATAATACATAGGTTAAAAATGAAATTTCAAGGGAAACTTTTTAAATACACTGTACTGAAAAAAAACAAAAATACAACATATAAAAATGTATGGGACACAGCTGTAGCAGTGCTGAGAGGGAAGTACTAAATGCATCCATCAGAAAAGTGAAAAGCTGCTCCCTTAAGGAAAAAAAAAAAGTAGAAAGGGAAGAGCAAAATTAATGCAAAAAAGGAGGCAGGAAAATAATAAAGGTAAGAGAAGACAGCAATATAAGTGAAAACAGAAAAACGATAGAGAAAATCAGTGAAATGAAAAGCTGGTTCTTTGAAAAGATCAATAAAATTGACAAACCTCTCACAAGACTGACAAAGAAAAGGGAGAGAAGACAAAATATGCATACCAGGAATGAAACAAGAAACATCACTACAGACCATACAATATCCAGAGTGAAGCAAGAGAATACCAGGAATAACACTACTCTCATAAAGCACTTAGGTGAAACAAACCAATTCCTTAAAACATATAAGCTACCCTAACTCACCCAGCATGAAATAGATGATTTGAATAGCCCCATATCTATGAAGAATATTGAATTAATAATTTTAAAACTCCTTAAAAGAACTCTCCAGGCCAAAAAAGCTTTACTGGAAAATTTTGCAAATGTTTAAAGAATTAGGCCGGGCACGGTGGCTCACGCCTGTAATCCCAGCACTTTGGGAGGCCGAGGCGGGTGGATCACAAGGTCAGGAGATCGAGACCATGGTGAAACCCCGTCTCTACTAAAAAATAGAAAAAAATTAGCCGGGCGCAGTGGCGGGCGCCTGTAGTCCCAGCTACTCGGGAGGCTGAGGTAGGAGAATGGCGTGAACCCGGGAGGCGGAGCTTGCAGTGAGCCGAGATTGCGCCACTGCACTCCAGCCTGGGCGACAGAGCGAGACTCCGTCTCAAAAAAAAAATAGAAGAAATAAAAAAATAAAAATAAATAAAAATAAAGAATTAATAGTAATCTACACAATCATCCAGAGCATAGAAAAGGAAGAAACATTTTCCAATTATTTTTATGAAACTAATATTACCATGACTCTACATGTAAAACAATGCAAAAAGAAAACTTCAGATTAATATCTCTCATGAACATAGATGCAAAAACCATTGACAAAATATTTGCAAACTAGAATTCCACAACATTTAAAAGAGAATTATATACCATAACCAAGCAGGGTTTGTACTAAGGATACAGTCTGGTTCAATATTTGAAAATCAATCAATTTAATCCACCTGATTAACATGCCAAAGAAGAAAATCACGATGTTTAATTTTATGTGTCAGCTTGACTGGACCACAGGGTGCCCAGATATTTGGTTAAATATTGTTCTGGGTGTATCTGTAAAGGTGCTTTTGGATGAGATTGACGTTTGAATCAGATTGAGTAAAGCAGGCTGTCCTCCCCAGTGTGGGTGAGCCTCCTTCAACCCATTGAAGGCCTGAATAGAAAAAAAAGGTTAAGTAAGAAAGAATTCTTTCTCTCTGTCTGTTTTGTCATTGCGACATTGATCTCCTCCTGTCTTCAGACTTGGACTTAGACTGGAACCTGGCATTTCTATTTCTCTGGCTTTCAGTCCCAGACTGGAACTATACCATCAGCTCTCCTGGATCTGACTTCTCAGCCTCCACCATAGTATGAGCTGATTCCTTATCATTTCTGTTTCTCTGGAGAATCCTCTCTGATATATATGATCATATCAACTGAGGCAGAAAAAGTATTTGACAAAATTCAACATCCATTCATGATAAAAATTCTCAGAAACCTAGGAAGAGAGGAGAACATCCTCAACTTGATAAATCTACAAAACCCTACAGTTACCAATACACTTTATGATGAAAGACTATGTGCTTTTTCCCGAAGGTCAGGAGCAAAGCAAGATGTCCTCTGTTGCCACTGTTATTCAACATACTACTGGAAGTTTAGACAGTGCAATAAGGCAAGAAAAGGAAATAAAAAGCATATACTTTGAAATGGAAAAAATAAAACTATCCCTGTTTGCAGATAGCATGCTTATCTGCATAAAAAATTCCAAAGAATCTATAAAAACAAACAAAAAACTAGAAATAAAAAGTTCAGCGAGGTCACAGAATATAAGATAAACATAGAAAATTGAATTATATTTCTACATATTAGCAATAAACATATGGACTCTGAAATTTAAAATATAATACTGTTTACAATCACCCAGAAACAAAGGAAATACTTAGGTCTAAGCATTTTGTATTTTTAGTAGAGATGGGGTTTCACCATGTTGGCCAGGCAGGTCTCGAACTCCTTGCCTCCCGCCCCCCTCAGCTTCAGACAGTGATCCTTCCGCGTTGGCCTCTGAAAGTGCTGGGATTACAGGCTTGAGCCACCATACCCGGCCTAAGTGTTTCTTTTTCTACTGGTTATAGAGCTGGCTACTGTACTCCTTCTGGTTTCTCTCCATTGGGGTGGTCGGTTGCCCACTGGGGCACAAGAAGGGGGCTGGCTTCTGTTGAGGGCCCCAGGAGCTAAGCATAAGGATGCTCTGGGATGGGAAAAACCAGTGTTGATCATAATCCCAAAAGACACAATCCTGAATTTCATAATACCAAAAACATAATTCTGGAAAATATAATTTTAATTTTTTTCTTAAAAAACATTTATTTATGTTTTTAAATGGGAATTTATTTAAGAAACAAAAAACATGAAAGAATACTACTTCATAGGCCACTTTGTACAGTAAAACAGACACATATAAATAATCACACGTACATTTTTGCAAGCATAAACACCCAGGAATTCTAATGACAGTCACACAGATATAAGAGCCAAGAAGAGATGAACCATATCCATAAAGAAATCTGTCAAAAAGTGAATGGTATAAGTGCACATCACTTAGGTGCGTAATTATGTGCACCCAGTTTTATAGCTACAGTCATCTGAAATATTAATATCATGACAAACAACCTACGTGGTTTGACCAGATCCATCAAAAACCTCAGTGAGTCACCCCTGCATATGCAGTCACCCAAAGAGCTGAGCTGTCAAGAAATAGTATCTTTTACAACCACAGATGCACAAAAAGAACATCTCTACATTTATTGAGGAAGTTTTAACGTTCTTATTTACAAAATCAACAGTTGTGATAATGTACTTTCCTGAAGTCAAATTTGCAAAAATTGTGTGAAACAAATTAGAACTCTCTAAAAGTCTCTGCACAATTTATACCTCCAGTATCAGAAATAACACAAAGATGATACACATGGCATAGCCAGTTGGCACTATGTATGAAGGGGCAGAAGTCATACACAATTGAATAGTTTGGCAGGAGAGATTTCTTGTATTTTTTGCTTGTGTTTTCACTTGATCTTTGAAACACTCACTGCACTTGTATTTGGATAGTGGTTGGGGTCTACACATTTTGTAGGTATGTGCTGCCCATTTGAAAGTCTGGTCGTTGCTCAGCAATTAAGCAATTTTTCGCCTTCACAGCACCAATAATAATTAGCTTTTAAACTTTTATCTTTCACCATCAAGTAGCTTCATACACTTAACTTATCACAGTCTTTTTGTGAGGGAGCAATTTCACAGATCTTTTTTATTGTGTTGTAAGGAATACGGTAAGAAGGAATGAAATTCAGCTTCCCCAATACCAAATCGGTACTAATCAAGGTTCTCCAGAGAACTAGAACCAATAGAATATGTACATAGAGATGTGAGAGGGGATTTATTAGGCAAATTGGCTCACACAATTCTGATGACTGAGAAGTCCCATGACAGACTGTCTGCAAGCTGGAGACCCTGGGATTCCTGCAGGATGGTTGAATCCAACTCAGATGGCCTCAGAGCCAGGAAAGCCAAT